CTTCTGTTTTTCCCAGAAATCTGATCTAGTAATTATGTAATCTACTAAACTCACATCACGATTGCGACAGGTAAAGTATCGCCTCCCATGATCGATTGAGGTGTATGATGTCTCTGTAAAAACGGCTCCACTGCAGTAACACTTTTTGGGCATTCCATATTCACCATCTGCTATGAGACATGGATCCAGCTCAGCTGACGATTCAGAACTGGTCACCGGACTGAATCTTTCCATTTCTACAAATTTCTGGAAGTAAAATTGAAACTGAACTGAAACTGAGCTATATTATTGGAAAGCAAATCGAAGAAATTAAGCTCTATATCTCAACTCTTGGGGAGCAAATCGGAAAACGGCCTAGATCTACACGAATCAAAGTAATAGCTTTACCTGTTGAATAAAATCAGATCTCAAACTGAACGGGAATGGCGGATCGTCCCCCTCTCTCTCTATCTCTCTCTCGACCTCCTCTCTCTCTCTCTCTCTGTCGAAATCAAAGAAGAAACAGAAAAAGAAAAAGTAACTAGGGTTTTCAGAAAAAGAATCCGACCCTGATTTTATGATTTTAATTAAAAAAATCTATTTTTAATTTTTTTCCCGCTGGCAAAAAACTGAAAATTGAGTGAATTTTATCAAAAAGTTGAACTTAGTTGTCCCCAAGGAAGCAGTTGAACTCAATTCTTAATAGTTGTATTTTTACAATTTTATTGTATTTCTAGTTGAACCTTCCTCTAAACTATTATAATGTAGTTGTATCAATGACTTTGGACCATTAAACATCATTTATAACTTTTTCATATTGCATTATATGAAATATTAAATATTTTGAACTTTTCAGTCCTAAAAGGCTTAACATTGTTGAGATCTTCCTTATATTGTAAGGGGTGGTTGATGTGAAAACATGATTTTGTATAAAAATAAAAAATTAATGTTTACCATATAAGTAATTGTTTCCTTATAGTTGAAAATGTGTTGATAGATCTTAATTGGTATATTAACATCACTTGAAGCTTTAATAATTGTTTACTGCACTTCCAAAGTTGATATTATTTGTACCCAGTTGCACAAATACGTCAGCGTTAATAGTTGTATCCAGTTGAACTTGGTACCATGTAGCTGTTTAAACATGAACCCAGTTGAACTTGGTAGTGCAAAACGGCAAGACGTAAATGTTAATAGTTGTACTCAGTTGAACCTGGAAGTGCGAAATTGCCAAAATGAACCTCTGAATTGTTCATACTTGTACCTAGTTAAACCTGGTCATACAAATTCACCAAACTCAAACATAGAAAGATTCATAGTTGTACATAGTCTAACATGGTTGTACAAAACCGAGAATTACAAAACACATACATAAATCAAACTGAGCTGCCACTTTGGCTACTCTGGAAATAGAAAGCGAAACCTCTGCCAGACACAGACCTGTTACTCGTCTTCCTGCGACGTTCCCCAGTGGATGGAAAGCGGTTTTCTTGATTTCTTCCTAGCGATTTGGTGTAATCAGGCGGTAAAGCAAACTTATTTAGTATTTCCTCAGGAATACTCTAACTAGACTCATTCGGCACTGGATAAATCGTCCTGTAGTATGCCAATGCCAACGTATCAATCAAGTAATATCTAGAGCATAAGTCGTATAGACTAATATCCGCTGTTCTCCCTCCCTTCTTCATTAGTGCCGCGGCTGCGGCGATTGCATGAACACAAGGATACTTGTCTATATCCAACCCTCTGCAAGAGCAAGTTTTGCTCGATAAATCCACCAAGTAAGCCTTCCCATCCAGTCCAATAACGCTGTATTCAAGTTGGAAGCTGTTTAGCTCAGCCACAACTAAACGAGCAGCAATTGGACATAATTCATGCAATTTGTTATCTACCTAAGGCACCACTTTCTTTGAGATCGGCATATCAGTAGCAGTCTTCCTATGCTTGTTAAATCAATATGCCATTTTCTCAACAATCGCATCAAGCATTGGTAACAGAGAGTACGTCTTTGCTTTCTTAAACACACTGTTGAGAGATTCACAAGAATTGCTGGTGTCTAAATTGTACTTTTCTCCTTTAAAGTAGCACCTTGCCGACTTATCAATCGATACAGTATCATGCAAATACACAGCAGCTGCAGCAAACCTCTTCTTAAAATCAGCATACTCCCTTTCGAACTCACTCACAGTATAAATATGAGCGCATTGGATGAATTTTGCCGCCACTAGATCTTTGTTCACCTTATGCTGAACTTTTCCTCTCATGTTTTGAGACAAATGCCATAAACAACGTCCATGCTGGGACTGGAGATACACCTTCGCTACTGCATTTATGATGCTTTTATGTCTGTCACTCATAAAAACCAATTCAGGATCATCAGGTATAATGCTTTTCAGCTTCTTGAAAAACCACATCCAACTATCATGCTTCTCAGTATCAATTACACCAAAAGCAATGGGGTAATTGTGATGATTAGGATCTTGAGTTGTGGCAAAGACAAGTTGTCCTCGATATACAGTCTTAAGAAATGTTGTATCCACGATTATCACTTTCTTCATTGCTTGAAACCTTCAATGCTAGCACCCAAAGCAATGAATAGGTACTTGAACTTTTTCTCTGCATCCAATTCCACACTTGTTACGGTTCCAGGATTTACCTTCTGTAGCATGTACAAATAAGAATACAACATCCTATAACCTTCTTCAGGAGTGCCCCGCACATCACTAACATCTAGTTTTTTCCTCTTAACGCGGTAGAGTAGGACAAACTAACACCAGCTTTAGTCTGAACCAAATTCGCGATATTTTTGGGAACTGGGGTGTCAACTTGACCTGGATAGTCTTCCTGCAAATAGATGCTACTAATCGTGGGGTGCCTCTCCTTCTACTAACGCATGTACTCTCAACAGCCCGAGAGCATGTATGCATCTTTATGTATACTCTAACACTGAAATAATCCGATTTCTTAAACCTTGCAGCTCGTAAATACCATTTACAGCCTTGACTCTTCTGACAGCATTCTAGAATAAGTCGCCCTGTATCTGACTTATAAGTATGGACCCCAAAACAATTTTTATGTGCAGCTCTGTCAACCAAATCTTGCACTGCCTCCTTAGAACAAAATTCTTGACCTATTTCAAGACCTATACCATCCTCCCATTCTTCTACACACTGACTAACTTCTACAAAACCTGGAAGCTCAACATATTCATGCATACCATCCAAACCGTTTTCCATATCCACATCAGTAAATCCATTACCATCCTTCTCTATCACCTCTTCAATAATCGGCTCCATAAGTTCTTCTCTTTCTGAGTCTGCTCTATAAATAGTAACCGCATTACAAACATCATCATCACCTCTACCATTTGCAACCTGCTTCTCATAATTCACACAAAATAAACTACCAACTTTAGAAGCTTGCTCACTCCTACCAGTCTCTAAATCTTTGACTACCTCCACATGCAAAACAGACCTTAGCCCCTCGTTATCCACCGTTGTCAGATAAGCATATACGTCATCATCAACGAAAATTTTTGACTCATTTATCGGTTTATTAACCAATGGAATGTAACTCAATTTCAGCTGTGCATTAGCTCTATCTATCCCAATCTTACTGCATATCTTATCTACTAACGCCGAATAAGTTATCTCCTCCACAGATAAGTTCCTAAATGGTATAGCATATGTGGAATTACTTGTAAACCATTTCAACTCCCCTCCGTCACGTGAATAACTCCCTCCATAGTCAAAATGTATGTTTGTGTGGTAGATGCTCATGCTCTCCTGAAAATATAATGAAAATAATCGATCAATAATTACACAAACTACCACAGTTGTACCAGTTGAACTCAGTTGTACTAGATTAACTAGACCTCTCATTTGTACCAGTTGAACTTTATTTTTCAGTTGTACCAGTTGAACTCAATATCTTAATTGTACTATTCCGCTCTCAGTTGTACCATTCCTCTCTCAGTTGTACCATTTGTCCAGTTTAACCAGTTGTACCATTTCTCCTATCATAACTCCAGAAATTGGGTTCTTCTTGAGTTTGTTCTTCTTCTACATATGAATCTGATTAACATAACCATATTTTTCTCACAAATTACCGAACCTATGGCTCAATCTATCTAAAATATATTGTTACCAACCCAGATCCCTAATTTTACAAATCTAAATCCCTAATTTCACAAAATATATCTCTAATTGAAAAAGATAGAAGAACTCACTTTAAATATGGAATATTCAACAATGGCAGAATAGGAGAAAGAGGACTCGGAATCTGGATCGGACGAAGTGGAGAAAGTGTCAGATTGGTCGGACGAAGAGGATAATGAGCTCACGGGAGGAGCTTATCACCAGAGCTCGGGTGAGGGAGGAGGAGGAGCAGCGGGAGCTCGCTGTGGGGGGATTTGTTTTTTTTTTAGATTCAATTTTGTTTTTTATTTTATTTTTTAGATTCAAAAATTTAATTATTTTTATTTATTTTACTTTTATTTATTCACTAATTTACTTTTACTTAGTTATTTTCAATTTTTTTACTAAAAACTAAATCGTAATTTTACATTTCATTTAATTGAATGTATAGCATGAATGTGGCATTAGATTGAAGAGTGATAGAAGAGCTCAATTTTTTTTTTGAAAATAGCAAATCAGCCTCGGACTCTAAAAACTAGCGAAACTAGAATAACGACACAAAATGGCATTCGTTATTTTTTTGTTTTCGTCCATACGGTATTATATATGTTACGTTGACTCTGTCTATCTAGACAGAAAAGTCAACGATGACGAAATAATAAGTTATTCGAACGTGGTTTGTGTTTGATATGAATCATCTCTCATGTGTAGCAAAAACAATTAGGCTAAGATGAAATGAACATAAAACACATTTTTGTGTGTGTATGATTAGATGGATTAATGAAAGAATCAGTTTACGGTCAACTTGATTAAATTACGGCTAATTATTGAATAATTATTAAAGCACGTTGAGGCCATTCAAATCACAAGGTTGTACATCCAACGATTATCTTCATCGTTTATTATTTCTCTGCATACAAACTTCATCAAAGCGCACAATCTCCGATGGAACTTGCCTACTCCTCTTATTCCGTCATTAGAACGCCTCAGTATCAAGTGTTCATCAACTTTCGAGGAGCAGAGCTCCGTCACGGGTTTCTAAAGACTCTTGTTAAAGCCCTAAAAGACGAGCATGTCAACGTCTATACAGATGAAGATGAGGTAAGAGGCGAAACTCTAAAGATTCTCTTCGATAGGATCGCTGAGTCGAGAATAGCGATCAAAGAATGCATGGATAGAGGCAAGCTTCGAGTATTTCCTGTTTTCTACAACGTGGAAACGGACGATGTGAAGGATTTGACAGGAATATTTGGCGAAAATTTTCGGCAACTGAGGTTGAGATATCCCCATAAGCTAAAAAGGTCGGCGAAATGGGAGACAGCTTTAAAGTGTGTTTCAGGAAAGCTTGGTTTGCCTTCAGAACTCAGGTTTTTTCTTCTCTCCTCTTGTTTCAAGACTCGTATTCTTTGTTTAACTCCAGAACAGGACGTGTTACTTGCAGAACACGAAAGAAACTAAACCAATTGATCATTTGATATTTGTTACTTTTGTGACAGGTATCTTACAGAATGGTTTTATAATGCTTTTGGCTATCGTTCCGTGTACGAGGAGAAATTCGCAAAGTCAATCGCGGAAGAGGTTAAGAAAATGTTAATAAAAATCTCCGAGAAAGAAGCACAACTCGCTGAAGCAAAACGCAACTCTCTGTCAAGAAAAATAGAGGAGATGATTATATCTGTTAAACCTAAAGGAGTTATGGTTTTTCTTATTGTAATGCTTGTTGCTCCTTATCTTTTGTTATTTATCTGCGGCACCTTATATTTTACCGGGTCATTCGATAACCAATCGAAGTTAAATGGTCGATGGGTTAATGATGATCGAGTAGTGATTCTGTAACGACCCAAGATTTTGATTTTTGTTTATTTATTTGGCTTTATCATACATTATATTGATTTGTAACGCATAATTATAATTGTAGCATGGGATTAATTTAATTCCTGGTCAATGTTAATATTATTTAGCTACTGGGTAAACTGGCTAGTCACATTGGGGCCTAAAGTTAAAGATCTAACATGCATACGTACAGTACATTATTGTCGCGTGTCTGCTCTTAATCGGGTTTTAGTTATGACCAGATGAGCTCCACGTGATGTGCGGGTTTTTAGTTTATAATATAATTTGTTAAAATGTTTCGTATGTATTTATTTTAGTATATATTTAAATCTTTTTTATGAACAATAGTAATAAATTTTTGTTTTGATTTCTAGTCAGTCTTATTATTTTAACTTAGATGCTGCAACATTTTTTGACTATATTTTTTAAATATGTTACAACTAAAAATATATATATAATGTTAAAATGTATTATAAGAAAAGGTACTCATCCACTATTACATATTTTATTATTGAATGAAAAACTTATAATTCTAATGATTATTTATTATGTCTAAATTTTCTTTAAAAATATTGTGTATTTGAATAAATATACATACGGATTATGTGGATAATAATTATATATGTGACAAACATTTTATTCAAAAAATATGAATTATGTTATATCTTGTATATATAGCATAAATCAAATAGATATATTACAAATTAAAAAGTATATAACAAAAATTAATTAGAGAGATCGTTTAAGCACAATGTAGGTAAAAATAACCTTTTTAAGCAAATAGTGCTGATTTATGGCGCATATTAATTTAAAATATTTGGTCACATATCCATACTGCAACTGGTGATCTATCTCACTGTTATTCTAACTATTTATGTGAGGTCTCAACTACATTGATAATAAACAAAAATATACATTCATCAGATATATAAAAACTAAAGTAGATATGATTTTAATTAGCATACAATTAAAAAGTAAATAATTTATTAGTCTAATTTTGATTACAATATAATAATAAATTATTAATTACAAAATTTAAAAAGATAAAAAGTGTCACTCTATCCAATACAGACTTGGTACTCAACCAAAGATAGTTGACTATTTTTTATATAATAATGTTTTGAGTGATTTAGCATAAGCAAAAAATAATACCATGTTTCTTCATGATAATTCATCATGAGCCATGCATGTTTATAAGACCTTTTTTCTTTCTAATTAACCCATAAACAGCTAAGAAATCACTAAAACGGACGATCTATTGGTTATCTTACGGCTGGGTAGTTTAGCTAAAATATCAAATTTTATAACATTGGTTATCTATAGATTAGTCGTACCTTTGTGCTTTCCACGTCAAATCAGGCTCCTTTCTTGAAATACACGTCACCAAAGTTTCCCATCTTTGGAGCCTAAAAGGATCGTATTTTGTCTTTCTCTCATTTCCAAGAATCGATTTCCAAACTCCTCCTTGAGATTTCTCACGTCCACATCATAGAAGATAGGAATCACCAAGAGGTTATTTTCGTTAGCTCGTTCCTTCATCTTCATTAGCTCATCCAAGCACCACTCTGTCTCTAGATAACCCGAAGAGAAGATAGCAAGTGTATTGAGATAATACAGGTTTGGTTACCTTCTCCCCTGTTCTTGGTCAGAGTCCTCTGTTTCGAAGCTCTGTTTTCATACTCTGTGCTTGGTTAAATCAGAATATACACTTGGTGACCAACAGATTTGTTGATCTATTTTATGATAGTTTCCAGAGTAAGTCACGAGCTCAATCCTCTAGGAGTTTAATAAAGTCTTAAAGATATCTTAGAGAGGGAGAAGACAAAAATCGTCGATCATTTGGTGGAAAGAACAGAGAAAATGATCAGATCCATTATCCGTTTCCTAAGTCTGATTCTTCTCCTTAATAGTTATTGTTCCTTATCTGTTTGTTCTTATCTACGCTCTGATCATGAATTGGAAAGGGACTGGTGAATGGTCACGATAATCTTATGTCACGATGTTTGCGTTTGGAATTTGTATTTCCGTTTCGATGTTATAATTTTTCTTTGCTAACTGATTTAGTTTCTATGTTATAATTTTTTTTTTGCTAACTGATTTAGTTTCTATAGTTTCTATTTCACAATCATTAAAACAAGTTTCTGTGTTGTTTCATTGTCGCATTTTTAATGTTTTAATCATTAATGAAATAATTTGTTTTTAAATTTGTTTACAGCTGTCGTCTAACCACACAAACAAATTAAAAATCTTAGAATTAATCTAAACATATATAAATGACATTCCTATAGAGAGACTTTGAGGGTCGTAGACTCTGTCGACTAAGAAATTCTTTTTTTTTTTTATAATAGATAGGAAAATGTCTTCTAATTTTATTTTTCATAGTGTAAAGCAAAGGCTTTTCAAAGTCTTTGCGTATTATATATACTACATCAATTCATGTTTCTTTGTTTAACTCAGAAGCAAACTCCAAAACCCAACAAACAACATCGTCTCACCTCTCTTAACCAACGCTCAACGATGGATCAAGCAAGAACACGACCACCTCAAGTGTTTATCAATTCAGGTGCAACCGAGCTGCCTGATGATTTCATCACACATCTCGTGTGGGGCTTGGAAGATTTAGGGATACTCAACGTTTTGATAGACAGAGAAGAATGGTGGGGAAGAGACCTAAACCATATATTCACTTGTATCGAAGAGTCAACAATCGCGCTCGCTTTCTTCTCTTCGCGCTATCTAGAGACAGAGTGGTGCTTGGACGAGCTTGTGAAGATGAAGGAACGAGCTAAAGAAAACAAACTCTTGGTGATTCCTATCTTCTACGATGTGAGCAAGAACGACGTGATAAATCTCGAGGGAGAGTTTGGAGCTCGATTCATGGAAATGAGGGAAAGATATACGGAATACAAATACGATCCTTTTAGGGTTAAAAGATGGGAAACTTCACTGATGACTATTTCAAGAATGGAGCCTTGTTTGACGTGGGAAGCACAAAGGTACTAATTTATAGTAATTGATATAATTCGATTACTTGGGTGGAAAGATACAATGAATAATCCATTTTAAAGATAAATCAGCTGACTTGTGGATTAATTGATTGCTATGAAAATCGATCTTTTAGTTGATTACTTGCCAGTAAAACAGCACAATGATTTGTTTGTTTGTTTGTTTTTTATCTCTCTGAAGAATGTTATATCACTTTTTTTCCAGTGTTTTGAATATGTATATTTGCTACTGTTAATTACTCGCATTTATCAAGTTTTCAAATTATATAAAAAAAACAAAAAAAATAAGATATGGTTAAAAAAAACCATTCATGTATTTGCTCTTTTATTTCTTTTATTCCATCATTCAGTATTCATTTGACATAATTCAGTCATCCCCCTTAAGCATATGATTAATCAAATGATTTATAACGATTACTTACTAACTATATTTTTTCTACTTTTTAGAAAAAATAGAAGGATTTTATTAAACTTTTTCTGATGTTAGTAATCTCACCTCATAAATGAGATTGTATTGAGAGCAATATATAAGATATGGTTCTATGCAATCATTGATAAATGGTTTTGAGTTGGAAGCCATAAACTTTAACATTCTTGAATATATTTGTTTAGGGAGTCGTAGATTTCATGTTTAGATTATAAAACCTCTTACGAACGAACATTAGTAATGATAAAAAGTTATATCCTTACTAGTTACCTTGCAACTTTTAAATCATTGAAATATTGATTATCAATTTAGTATTGCTTAATTAGGTACGTACTCATCGGTTTCTCTGACTCGTGTTTGCGCAGCTCGAAAATCCCTCTTGCCGAAGATATCATTAGGGAGGTCAAGAGAGAGCTAGACATGGCCTCTGACCCGGGATTCTCATCTCCCCTAGAATTCTCCAACGATTCCCATTCAAAAATGCCAATCGAAGAAGTGTTTGTTTCTGCTTTTCTAGTGGCTTTTCTCTTTAGCCTCTTCATAGCTCGTTTACTTTTCACAGATGTGAAATTTTTCAGGACTGCGAAGTGGTTAGTAGGTTTTCCGGTTACGATTGTTGTATTACATCAGTTACATTGTGCACTGACACAAAGAAACAGACGATCACCTGATGCTTGATCACTCGCGATGATGTATAGTTATGCTGTTTTAATTTGTTGTACATCAGTGTGTTATTTACTACCTTAAAGAACAAAAAATGTGTTCGGTATTATTACTCTTGTTTCTGTCTCTACTCTACTCATTTGACAATAGATCTTTGTTGTCTTGTACGTCTTTTGCTTCTCTTTTAGCTTATTAATGGCATGGTTGGTTTAATGGCTTGTGTTATTTTGAGCATTAGGGAAATTTAAAGATGATTGTGTCGCCTTTGCTTGTTTGATTCTTTCTTGATAAAGTATTTTCTTAAGAGGATGACAAATTAGAGCAACGAGGTACGTGCCATTGACATGGATGCACATGCAACTCCTCAAGATCGACCACTGTCATATTATTTGGGTACTATGACCAAGAATAGATCAACCAATACTATTATTTAGGGATATATTCTATTTTAAAAATAAACGATGAGAGATATATATATTACAACAATGAGCTTATATTCATTCTTAATTTTCTTTTTTTACTTAATAGCTCTATTCTGTGTACCTGTAAAATAAATCTTTTTTTTTCTTCTTGACCTTTTGTTAATGATGAAACATTCACCTTTCTAAGATCAAGTAACCTTTTTGGGTAATATTATAGACAAAGATTAGACAATGTTTATCAAACAAGTGATTTAATAGGTTGATCCTATCAGAGCACTCGTTTTAAATTAAATAGTAAAATTAATGCAATACCCACTCATGTGTTGTTATTTTGACACATTTTACATAAATTAATAAAATCATTAAAAATTCTGTTTTTACTATTTATTTATATATAAAATAATACTTTCTTTCTAATTAAAACATTAAATAATTAAAGTCAAAACTGAACTTTTATTTTAAATTTTGCATTAAAAATATAGAATGACAATTTTTGTGAAACAAAAATTAAACCTTATAATAATACTTTTTGAAACTGAGGGAATAGCTTTTAGTTACACAGTAAAAAAAAATATACATAATATATATATATATATATATATATATATATAGACTCATACCAAAATGTAAAATCAACGAGAAGTAAAAAATAACAAACAAACACATACAGTAATGGAGATTATATAGTCAATTACAAATATGAGTTGGGAAGACTACCTAAATATCCTGAAATGAACATCAATAATTCTTCTTCTGAGTCGGACCGAAACACCAAAGTGTCCTTTAGCTTGCCGCCATCAATGATTGCAAAGGTGTCCTTGCCCTTCATCCCAAACTCGATAGCAGTTGGTTCGAACCATGGATAGTCACCAACGTCGATTCTATACATATTGATCCTCCCTATAAAGTGATTGGCCACATTGTTCAAATGTTCCTGGTTCACGCTGCACGTCTCCGTGTAAGAAGTATCTGGAGATTTAGAGCAGGGTAGGGTCGTGTACATAACCAGTACGGGAAATTCGGACTTGAGCACGAGATCATCCCAGTCATCTGCAGAGATATCGAAAGCTGCATGTGTACAGACGTGTAACACAAATAAAAGAACATCAATATACATAACATTGAAATGCAGTTGTAACTTGTATATATGTATATAGTACATGTTAAAATCAACAAATGATTAAATGGTTTCGTTTAATTATCATTTTCAGATTAGGTACATACGATATGTTTGTGCGTTAGCCCCGAGCATGCCATCCGAGCACACCCCCACCAAATAGATTACAATAAACACCGTACTGTATATTTCCCTTTTCGCCATTTCAACTCTCTCTCTCTCTCTCTCTCTCTCTCTCTCTCTCTCTCTCTCTCAACTAGATGTTATTTCTGGCTGTGCTGTGTACAAATGAAGCCATCTCCTAGTTTCTTTTAAATAAGCATCCTTAAAGCCAACGACTTGCTTTGTTTGATCTCTCCCGTAACTTCTCTGTTTCTTCTTTAGCTGTTACTTTTTGAAAAAAAAAAACTAAACACGAGTTCCACAAAAGATTCTTCAAATAAACTATATTTGTATCATGTGTAGTTGAATATATTTAAAACATTGATGACGCAGCTCATACAATTAATTAACACTATATGCTGTCTCACCATGTGCAAGTCTGCAAAGTTGAACTTGTCTTAAAAAACAAATAATTTATAAAAACCATATTTTCCACAATCTCGTCCCTCAAGTTCCCCATCTTTCTTTACCGTCACTTCTTTTAAACACGAGTTTCACAACTGATTATTCAAAAAAAATTCAGCAACCCCAATAGAAAATTTTAATGTCTAACTAAAAAGTTTTAGTAATAAAAATAAATAAATAAATAGTGAAAAAATCTAATATGTCTATCTAATATATATGAATAAAGGTGATCTTTCTCCAGTTGTTTGACACATCAGCTAAGGAAAAAAAGACGCGTCCATAATAATAACAAAAAAATTCACCAAAAAATTAAATTAAATCGACTTCTCGCCTTTCCATCGCTTCTCTTCTTTTATCGAGGGATCAGGTTTGGTGAAACAATTGTTTACCCCGGCCGACTTCTGCTCTTCTTCAACAACTGAAACGATATTTTTCCTAATCAACGATATTAAAGAATACCAGAGGCCAGAGACGATTGTACCATTTCACCTCCCTTTTTCTCTTCCAAATTCAGAGACTAATCTTTTTCCAGTTCTCATTTTTCTCCGTCTTGGAACCGAGACATGGTTTAACAGATCATCCGTTTACTCTCTGAAGTTCTTCTACGATGGCAGGAGAGAAGTATGGTGCTTGAGAATCAACGGATTCTGAGTAAGTACAAGAAGAAGTAAGGTCTAAAGCGGAAAAGGTTTTTTTGAATCCTATTTGAGGAGAGGCCTCAGATTCTTCCTGGTCAGATGCTTCTTGCTAATGAGTAATTCCACAACGAGAACATCTCTGCTGAAGGTAACAATTAAACGAGAAGAGTTTACTTCATTATCTCAACGAACAAGGAGAGCTTCTCTTGTGTTTGTTTCCCTTTCTTTTTAAGAACGAATAATGTATGACTTTCAGATTGTGTATGTCTTGTAGTGTGAAAATTTCACAGTTGTGCATGCTCATACTACGGAGTACGGAGAAAGATGTTATTTTCCTAAGGTATACTCTTCTTTTAACTACATTTGTCTAATAAGATAACTGATGGTAATGATGTTTTCTATGGTCTAAAACTTATGTTTGATATAGAATACTCCTACGCATTCACTCACTTGTATTCCTTTCACTCATGATGATGGCATTCAGCAATACTTTTCACATTCTTTTTTTGTGTAGATAGTTATATTACTGAATTTGTGTAATACTCATAGGCATAAAAGATCAAAGGATACTAAGAAACATGCATTTGTGTAAGTGAAAAACATGTTATAAATAATTAGACAATCCAAGAGGTCACAAACGTGAAGGATAGTGTAATATTTGGAGAAGAAGTCCAACTTTCCAAGAGCCACACAAGACTAAGAAACGAGTGTGGACTTGAAACAGGATAACAAAGGAAGAGGAAACATACAGTAACTAATTTCATCTGATGAGATAAAGATATGATCTCAATATCAATTTTCTCATGTGTTAGTTCTGTGTGTGTGTGTGTTGTTCATGATGTGGTTATAACTAATTAAGAACAAACACTAGAAAAAATTCTTATTTCTTATCTTACCAGGAATATGAGACCTACCATTCAACTAGATGTTCAAAAGCAAAAGTGTTTTGATGAACTTACTGAACTTTGCAGCTGAGGGATCAAAGATGAGAGTAATGGAGACCATTCTAATAGAAAACTGTATGGCTTGTTAGTTACACGAAGAAGCTGAAATACAAACCCCTTGAGGGTCCACATGGAGTATTATCTTAATACTTAACTCAAACCTCTTAAAGTTTCATCTTTGTTGGTGTATATACACGAAACATATGCATAGCCATAAAGAGATGAGAAAATTTACCCGAATAGAAAACATAGACAATACATGACTTTGTAGATTTATGATTCCATTTAGTTTGTATTTGTTCATGTACTTTGCTTCAAAATTGATATTAAAATTGCAGGAGAAATTAAACCCGCGTGCGGGTATTGGCCTAGTTATATATAATTAGCCAAATCTATCTCCATCTAGAGTGTCAATCTCAGCAATTTTTAATTTTTAAAATAGGCTTCTAAATATTTTAGGTTTTGTTTTTCAGTTTTTATCTTTTGGGTATTTATTTTTGAGCTTTTAATATGATTAATTTGAAAAAAAAATATATATACTATTTTACAAGTCATAAAAATTACAAATTCTCTATTTGAGAAAAATAATTTGGAAGGCAAACACATACAAAAAATGATTGAATAACTTACAGAAAATAATTTTCAAGATTTTTTATAAATAAAGAAAAAAAATGGCAAATACTTATCAACTATGTTTTTTCAACGATGGCAATGTAAAGTTAATGTGTGATGAGTTTTACTCATCAGCTGGATAATTTATGAATTTTAATATAAAGTGTATAAATAAATTAAAAAATTATTGATTATATTTTTAAACAGAGTCAAGTTGTTTACCTTCCACATGACATGAAAATAGGCAAAAATATTTTCACACACGAATGCAAATATAGTCAGATAGTTTATCATCGTCAGATAGATGAACACATCAAAATTGCTTTTCAAAAAAAAGACAAATTTCTCAAATTAATTAAAATTAACAGTTTATCAAGTAAACATAATTTTTTTAATATAAAAACCTATCAAACCTATGTAAGATATGAACAGATCTCTTATTTTGTCCTGCCAACTTTAACTACAATTCCTCTCATTTATAGTTACAGTCAATCACAGAACTGAATGAGGCAGAAGCTTGCATGAAATAAGAGAAAATATCAGTGATTGTAATCAGAATAATAGGATTAGGAGCAATAGGAAAGAGAGAAAAAAATGAATGATTATTTGTGTTTGAAAATAAGTTAGATTTTTTAAAATTCTGATAAAAAATTAAGAGAACATTCGGTTTAGAATAGGGAGGGGTCGATAATGATTTCACTTTGTTGATATGTGAAAATAAACTGTAGAAAAAAAAAACCAGAAACCAATTGAATGTAGTTAAACAGTTAAGACACATATAATACTTATTGCAGTGTATAACGATAGACTTTTTTAATAATTAATATAATATATTATAATTTATATTAGATAAGAAATTTACAATATAAATATATATATATATTTTAGGATAAAAACAAAAAAAATATTTTAAAAATACAAATATAATATATTATAATATATAATAAACATATACAATAGTAATATAAATATATAAAAAAAAATTAATAGATAAATTCGCAGAACGTTAAAATTATATCTAATATACTTTTTTAGGATACTTTTTGAATTTAGACATCTGATATCAAAAATAAAATAATATAATATTTTTAAGACCAATGGTCTCTATTGGGTATTGTGGATCTTTTTGAGTGGTTCAAAGGATATAATATTTTTGACGGAAATCTGCGGTCGTTATCTTCACCATGAGGTAACAATATTCAGATTAGTGTTTAGACTTTAGACGAGCAATTGAAAGAAGCAGACTTGTGGTCATTCACGTAAAACCTCGAGAGAGAGAGAGACTTAGTTTCAAGAAAGTGAAGCCTATCGATTTATATTGATTATCCACTTTGATGCGTTTTTAGGGTTTAATTAAGTTCAGTGATTTCGATTCTTTGAATCAGAGGAAGAAGCAATGATTGATGGGTAGTTTCTATTTGACAAGTAGAACATTAAAAACCATTTCTTTTTCTTGTTTTGTTTTTGTTATTACTACCTTCTCTTCTCTGGAATTAGAATGCTTTCCTTAGCTAATAGCCTAATACTGATTGATTCACCGTTTACATAAATAGATTTTTGAGGGGAGTAATGTAGTAAAGATGTCGAATTTCTAATGTACAACTTTGATGAGGTTGCTAAAAAGATGTAATCTTCTGTTGAGTGTTAACCATGCTGAAATCTTTAAAATTTTAAAATTTATTTAGAAGCTTTCTTTGGCATTGAGTGAATATTGGGGCTGAACCTGTTACTTATCTTCTTCTTGTTTAGTCACACTATTTAATAATGTGTTTATGTATAAGCAGGAAATGCTTTGGTGTAGTATTTATGATGTATTATGTGTTTATTAGTCTTTCTTTGCATTACTTGATTCTCTCAATACGTTTTTTAGAAAAAAAAATCACAGCACTGTAACTAGTCTTTGCTTTTTGATTTAGAATGTATACGTTTTCTTTTTTTTTTCCCAATTTCTTTGCTTAAAAGGGTGATCTGAGAATAGAGCACAATGATTAGTGTGGCTCGCTTGCTTGATTCTCTCTTGTTAATGTGTTGTTTTCTTTGGTACAGTACTACCGGTTTCATGTCTTCTTGATCATTTGAAACTAATTTCGCATTCAACTTCTTGTATAAGCTTTCGAATTGTCTTACTCTAATGTACCAAGTGTGCATTTACAGCCTTTGTGACGTTCACGCTGATAATAACACGCGAGAGAGAATCACGGTGAAGAATTGGAAGGGGTATATCTGAATTCTGATGCAGCAAAGACCGGCTTCTCAATGGATTATCCACAGGTATCTTTTTGTTTGAAATCAGATTCTATCAACAAATATCTGGTGCAATCTAAAATGTTGTGCATACCATTGATGAGTTTCTGTGATCTATCTATGAGTTCTTGCTTTGTGACCATTTGTTTTATGCATCAACTTTTTGGAGAAAGATTTGTAACTAGTTCCTTTAACTTTGCCTGGTAAAAGTGCAAAATTCAAAGTTGTCACAATCTTGACTATTAAATGTCAGATATTAAAGATATCTCTATTGCATAAAACATGTTTGACTTGTCAATATATATTTATTATTATATGTCACTATTGTTTAAAGAAAAGGCATCGCATGAATATTAAATACTACAGTAAAACTTCTATAAATTAATAATGTTGGGACCTCAAAAATTTATTAATTTATAGAGTTATTAATTAATCGATAAATTAATAATTATTAATTTATCGAGAAATTAATATTTTATTAATTTATAGAGAGATATTTGAGTTCAAATTCAAAATATTTGTCAAAAACCAAAAAAAAATTCAATAATGTAAAATTTGTTCAGAAAATATCATATCAGTAAATTTGAAAAATAAGTCAAACAATTTTTATAAACTTGAAACAATAATATAAATATATTTTACTATATTATATTATTCATATATTTTTAAATATATAATTATTAATTTATCTAATTATTGGGACTATATTTTTACATAGGAGTTTCAAAAAAATTATTATCTTATTATCTTATCGAAATTTGCTAATTTTTACACTGATCCGACTTAGTACCGGCAAAAATTATTAATTTATAATGATTATTAATTTATCGAGTATTAATTTATAGAGGTTCTACTATACTGTGGATTAAAGAAAGCAATTGCGACGTGTAGACTTTAGAAATGAATTGGTCCAAAAGAAGAAGGGTATAAGATTTAGTTTCCAGCTTCTGACATTTTGTTCCTTTTACGATCAGGAAAAGACCAAAACAAGAAGAGTCTCTGTCCTCCAATGGCAGAGCTACGACCAAACCATCGTCCCCCTCAGGTGTTCATCAGTTTCAATGGAGCTGAGCATCGCGACAACTTCATCAGATATCTTGTGTGGGGATTGAGAAGCGAAAGAATCAACGTTTTCATTGACACAGGAGAAGCCAATAGGAGAGAGATACGAAACCTTTTCACAAAGATCGAGGATTCAAACATCGCGGTCGTCATCTTCTCCAAGAGGTATACAGAGTCAGAGATATGCTTGAACGAGCTTCAAAAGATGCACGAGCACGCTGAACAAAACAGACTCGTGGTGATTCCTGTCTTCTACGACGTGAGCACGAGTGATGTGAAGAACCTCGAGGGTGAATTTGGTAGTCATTTCAAGGAAATGAAGGAGAAATACAGAAACGATCCACTCAAGATGTTGAATTGGGAGGATTCCTTGAGCTCAATATCTGAAAGAACCGGCTTAACCTCAGAAGAACACGGGTAATTACTTTCTTGATGGTTCTTGTAAGTAGTGGAGCGCAAACTATCTGTGTATTTTAAATCTAATGCATCACTTGCACGCCTAAGGCAGATCTTGTTAATTTGTACGTAGGAAGACTGCTTGTTTGGTCTAATCGAATGATTTCTTTCTCATTCATGTTTGCAGAACGGGTTTAGGTCTTGTCAGGGAAATAGTTAGCGCCGTTAAGAACGAGCTACCAAACTCCTCGGGAGGAAGAATCAATATGTCAAAAGGACAAGTGTTTGTTTTGGCTTCAGCTGCGGTTTTTCTCTTTACTCTCTTCACAGCGCGTTTGTTTTGCACGGATGTGAAAGCTTACAAGGCTGTTAAGTGTTTAATAGGTGTTCCTGTTTTGTTTGGTCTCTTGCACCAGCTTTATTGTCTATGAACACGTTAAGGGTTTACCAAACAGATGACCTCTTCACTGATCACCAATTCTTAGACAAATGGCTTTACCATGTTTTGTTGTAAGTTTGTTTAATTGTTATCTACTACCTCAAAGAACAAAATGTGTCCTGTATTACTCTGCTTTTGTCTGCTGAGCTTGTGAAAAAGATAGTTTCTTGTCTTTTGTATTCTTCATTGGTGTATAAACACGTGAAAAGTTTTTCTCTTGATATTTTTCTTTTCCGGGTTCTTTGCTTTAAGGGCTGGCTAGTAACGACATGGATGATCCATTTTTGTGATCTGAGCATAGAGCACAACGATCAGTGTGGCGTGCTTATTTGATTCTCTCTTGTTAATGTGTTTATTTCCGTACTACTGATTCCATGTTTGCTTGGTCATGACGCTGGCACTATTATTGCATTCAAGTTCTTGTCCAAGTTTTTGGAATTGTGTCCAAGTCTAATTTACCAAGTATGCATTCACAGCGTTTGAATAACGGTCAAGACTGGCAGCAAAGACTGGCTTCGCCATAGCCACAGGTATATGAAGTCTGTTGCAGCAAAGACTGGCTTCGCCATAGCTACATGTATCTTTTTGTTTGGATTAAGATTCTATCAACAGGTGCTTGGTGTAATCCAAAATCTTGTGCATACCTTTGATGATTTTCTATGATCTAGTTATCAATTCTTGTTTTGTGACCATTCATTCATTAGTTTATATACCATCCTTTTTGGAGAAAGATTTGCATTTGTTTCTTTTACTTTGCCTGGTCAATACAAGAATGTAACTATGTATCAAAGAAAAGTATTACATAACCCATGCTTGAATAGTTAATGTCTTTGACCAAAAAAAAAAAAAAGAATAGTTAATGTCATCGTACATTACATAAAACATGTATTTATATTATTGTCATTGTACAAATATTTAAGAATAGACATCGCATGAAACTTGCTTGAATATAAAATGAACTCAATTATGAGGCGTAGACTTTATAAATGAATGGGTCCAAAAGAAGAAACTATTGATGTATACTAAGATTAGGTTCCCAGTTTTGACATTTTGGACTTGATTAGTTACTGCTGTAGCTTTAATTTTTTTGCTGTAGAAATAGATCTGTAAGTTTTTTGCGGTGGTGGCTGTAGATTTTAATTCTGTAGATTTTAGTACTGTAGGATTATTAATTTTTCAAAGTTCAAATTTTTTCTTTTACATATTTTGCTTTTTACAGCCAAAAAAATTAAAAAAAGAAAAGAAAGATCTGTAGCTTTAAAAAATCTGTGTAAAGTATGATTGGAAAAAATTTAATGCTTTACAAAAATTATGGCTATGTACAGATTCTACAACAATTACCAATCAAGCCGTTTCTTTCTTTTTATGATCAGGAAAAGGCCAAAACAAGAAAATTCTTAGCCACAACCATACCAACGTCCTCCTCAGGTGTTCATTAGTTTCCATGGAGATGAGCTTCGCGACAACTTCATTAAATATCTTGTGTGGGGATTGAGAGACGAAAGAGTCAACGTTTTCATTGATAGAGGAGAAGCAAACAGGAGAGACATACGAAACCTATCCACAAAGATCGAGGATTCAAACATCGCTGTCGTCATCTTCTCCAAAATGTATACAGAGTCAGAGATATGCTTGAACGAGCTTCAAAAGATGCACGAGCACGCTGAACAAAACAGACTCGTGGTGATTCCTGTCTTCTAGGAGGTGAGCACGAGTGATGTGAAGAACTAAGGTGGTGAATTCGGTAATCATTTCAAGGAAATGAGGGAGAAATACATAAACGATCCACTCAAGATCTTGAATTGGGAGGATTCCTTGAGCTCAATAGCTGAAAGAACCGGCTTAACCTCAGAAGAACACGGGTAATTATTTTCTTGATGGTTCTTGAAGCACAAACTATTTGGGTTTCTAAGATACAAACAATATTTAAAGCATCACTGGTAGAAGAACATTTGTTAATTTGTACTTAGAAAGACTACTTGTTTGGTTTAACCTAATGTTTCTTCTCATTCATGTTCGCAGAACGGGTTTAGGTCTTGTCAGGGCAATAGTTAGCGCCGTTAAGAGCGAGCTACCAAACTCCTCAGGAGGAAGAACTAATATGTTGAAAGGACAAGTGTTTGTTTTGGCTTCAGCTGCGGTTTTTCTCTTTAGTCTCTTCGTAGCTCGTTTTTTTTGCACGGATGTGAAAGCTTACAAGGCTGTTAAGTGTTTGCTAGGTGTTCCTGTTTTGGTTGGTCTCTTGCACCAGCTTTATTGTCTATGAACTTCTTCAGTGATCACATTTATCACCAATTCTTAGTCAAATGGCTTTACTCTGTTTCATTGTTATTTACTACTACTACCTAAAGAACAAACTGTGTCCTGTATTACTCTGCTTTTGTCTGTAAGCTTATGAAAATAACAGTTTATTGTCTTTTGTACTCTTCTTCATTGGTATGAACACGTGAAGGGTTTCTCTCTTAATATTTTCCCTGTAAAAACGTTCTTGACCGACCCATGACCCGGAACTCAGAGGATTACAGTGATGTTTAAAGATGACTGTTGTTGTATAATATTAAAGAAAGACTGAGGAAAAGGCCTAGACTTTGGCATTAATTCACGAATTGGTCTGACGAATAAAGAATGCTTTCTCTCTTCTCTGTTTTTTTCAGTCGAACCTACCACCATCGGGCAGGTCCAACTACCCTTTCCTCTGGTGTTTGTCAACTTTCGTGGATCCGAACTATCCGATAACTTTGTCAGGAATCTCGTGTGGTCCTTGAGTTGAGAGAGACCCAGTGATCAGCGTCTTCATTGATAACTACGAGCGGAAGTGGAGAAAACTAAAAGGTCTCTTCACAAGGATCAAGAAGTCAAACAGATCACGCTTGCAATCTTCTCTGAGAGGTACTATAAGTAAAAAATGGTGAGTTTCACCATTCTTTTCAACTAAATGAAGCCGAAATACACAGAGGAGCCTGAGAGCGCCGAGAGATGGGAGTGTGACTAAAAGATTTGGATTTTCCCCGGCAAACTACAGGTTCTTCGATTGTTCTCGATGAATCTTCTATCACAGATATAGCAGAATTACAGTTCTTTATCTAACTCATGTTTTTTTGCAGAAACGATGACTATAGAGGTTAACTAAATGATGAGCGTAGTTCTCTTTACTTGATACTCTCTTCATCTTTAACAGTCTCTAAATTCAAAACCCACCAAAAAAATCCGCATTCTTGACCCGACCCATGAGACAGTGATGTGCTTTCTCTCGTTGTTGCCAAATATTAAACTAAAGACTGAGAAACGCGTATAGACTTTGACTCAGGGTAATGGAAAACTAGTACGGTGAATAAAAATATGGTCTCTCTTTATGTTTTATAAGAAGCCAATGAGAAGAACAAAAGTCTTCACCAGCTACATTTTCTTTTTTGTCTCTCTCAGGCGAACTCACAAAACCATTCCAATGAAGTCGAAGAAGGCCGCCAGAGCACCACGTCCCCCTCAGGTATTCATCAACTTCCGAGGAGATGAGCTCAGAGACAACTTCGTGAACCAACTCGTGAGGGCCTTAAGAGAAGCAGACATCAATGTCTTTATAGACGTCCACGAGTTAAAAGGGAGAAAACTAAAGACTCTCTTCACAAGGATCCAGAACTCAAAGATCGCCCTCGCCATATTCTCCAAGAGGCACTGCGAGTCCGAGTGGTGTTTGAATGAGCTTGAGATGATGAATGAGCAAATGAACCAAGGGAAACTCGTGGTGATCCCAATCTTCTATAACGTAACAGCAAACGATGTGAAAAGAGCATGCGATCTCGATAGAGAAGCCGATTCCAAGGGCAAAGAAGGAGAGTTCACTAGACTTTTCAAGAAAATGAGGCAGAAACACGCAGATGATCCCAAGATGGTTAACAGATGGGAGCTTGCCCTGAAGTCTGTAACCGCAAGAATCGGCCTTTCCACTGAAGTATACAGGTAAACTGATTTGATTTCTTGATGATTCTTGTTATATCAAAAGGCAAAAACACGAAAAAAGGCTTCCCTCTTGTTTTTAGCAGAAAGTCTCTGGTGAAGTCTATAGTTGTGGAGGTTAGGAGAAATCTAGGGATGCCTCTGGAGAAACCTATGTCTGATATAAATATTGCCTTCATGGCTCTTTGGGCAAGTTCGGTCTTTAGCTTTATCATAGCTCCTCTGCTTTTCCCTGATGTGAAGTTCTTCAAGACTGGTAAGTGGGTCTTAAGTATTCCGTTCTTGGTTGTTGCGTGGCACATGTGGGATAGGGAAAACCAAAACACACCTTTGGCTTACTTCAGTCAACTGAGCCCTTCCACCGTTTGGGTTGATATGGAGAGACGTAACAACGAACCGGCTTTCGCCGGGAAAGGGGCACGGCGTCACCACACCGCTTGAGCTTGTGAGAATCAGACCAAACCACAGGATTTTTGTCTGCCACCGTTCTTCAAGAGCCGTGGCTATAACAGTTATAAAGACCTGAAGCGAATTGCAAAACTTCTTTTCTTTGCGAGATCTTCTTTTGTATTGCTTTTAGTTATCATTGGAAGCATTATTGTATTCTTTTTCTTGACAAAATAACATCATAAAATCTTTATTTACAGAACAGAACAAAGTTTCAGACCACTAATACCTTCACAGTTCTGTTTTATGCTTGTGAAACTTTCATCTCCAAAATGGGTTTTTGTTTTTCATCATCGTTAGATCTACTACTGAGTTAGTAATTGACTGGCAATGGAGAATGAGAAAACTAACTGACACAGAGCTTCAATAACACTATAACACTGTAATACGAATAAATGAATAATGTCAAGTATTAGCGTTGCAAATTGCAATATATGTACTGTATGCTTAATGTGCCAAGCTGTGACTATTTACTTGCGTCTGATCTTTTATGGGTTTTCTCCACGCTTATGTTGTTTCATCTTTAGATATATCTCAACGATTTTAAGTTTCTTTTGGATTTTGTGCTTCCAAGCCCCATTAGGTAAGACTTCTCACATTGTATGTTTTAACATAAAGCAGGTTCCGTTATATTTTTGAATTTCATACGGTAGCCCACCCAAAGCAAGTAACCCAATGGCCTAAGCCCAAAATCATTTGGTGCGACGGCAATCAACAAACAGACACGTTTCGTGGGTAAACGCACGTGCGAGTAACAAGTTGACCTTCCAAAGGCCGTCCCTCAAATGGTCCGCTTTCGCTTCAGTTTGATGATCAACACCAAACACCATTCCGCGTCTTGTTCTCTTCTCACTATAAATTAATTGACTCCACTTTATTTGTTCCTTTCTATTAAGAAAGGGCAAAACACTTTTTTTTTGTCTTCCTCTCGAAAACCCAAATTCGTATTTTACCAGCCCGGCCCAAGGGGGTGAGCAGAGGTGGGCTTGCCCAGGGGTCCAAACCAAATTTAAGACAATACTGTATATTTAAGAATCCATTTTCGAAAATATTGATCTAATAAAATATATTTTTTATTTAAATTATTTTTTTAATTGACAAAATCATTAGAAAATGGCCTAAAAAATTTAGATTTTTGATATTAAAAGGTTCAAAATTTCGATTTTTGATATTGAAAGGCCCAAAATTTCGATTTTTGATATTAAAGGGCCCAAATTTTTTTTTTGCCCAAGAACTTTAAAATTCATTGAGCCGGGGCTGTATTTTACCTCTCGAATTTTAAAATTTTGGTGAGTATTTATTTACTTGTATATCTTCGTTTCTGCAAAACTCTAGTCTCTTTTGACCAAATGAAAATTTTGAATTCTATCAGTATTTTTTGTTTACCACAGAATTTTTTTTTCTTCTATAGCAATCACACAGCGATTATCTTCAAGAGAATCGGTACGCTTCCTTGCTGTTTTCTTAAATCACATCTTCTATGATATTATGCTTCAGATGTTGATTGCCCTATATGGTATTACATGGCTCTTGCGTGTAGGTGCATATTATGTTTATGTTATACAAATATCATACATATTAAGATGGTTATGATTAATTTTCAAAAAAGATGGTTATGATTAATAGACTCCCAAATCTTAGAAAACATGCTACTTTCCGAATATGATTTTTCAACCGGTGTTGTAGTTTAAATGGTATTTTTGTTTTGTGTCTCTAGTTTTAAGATTTGATTAGGTGGTTGGCCCGCACATATGTGCAGGTATAATTTTTTTGATACATAGTTAATTGTAATATTTAAATTTTAAATATTTATATGTTTGTATATATATTGTTTTAATATTTCACAAACTTTTTTCTGAAATCAATGTATTTTATTACTTTTATTTTTATAATGCTTGTAATAGTATATAATCACAAATATAAAAGTTATATTAAATAATAATTAATTTCTTATAATATTAATATGCTTTATTTCTCCTTACACAATCTACAATATGTTTTTTTGCGTCTTACATAATATGAGTTTGTAAATACATATATAATATATTTTAAGTATATATTTTTCTTGATTTATTGCAAATTAAACTGAAATAATTTTTACCATTTTTACTTATTCCTAAGAGCGGATAGATGGTTGGCACGCATGTGCGGACATACCAATCACTTCACTACACTTAGAATAATAAAGATTTTAAAAAAATATATAAATTAGATAATAATTAAAATAAAAATTAGACTGTAACCAATCTTAACAAAATACATGCACGAAAAAGTTCGCATGTGACTTTAACTAATGTACAACTAATATTTATATATGTACTCATATTTGTAAAAAAATTGAAATATGGCGACCAACCCCAATGGAGAACTTATTAAGAAGGTCTTAAAAATATTTTATTATTTATTTTAGACATTGGGTGTCTTAGCTCAACAAAAGTATCATATTTTAGACATTGTGTCTATTTTTAAGACTCTTTCACTATTTTTTTTATTCATTTTTATTATTAAGATCTTTTGTTTTAGACACCCAAAGTTCTCCATTAGGGTTGCTCTTACGTGTTAAAATTTTTTTAAGTGACTTTGTAAAACAAAGGGCGAGCGATTTGTTTTTTATATACTTCAATTTTTATCTCTTATTCATATTGTTTCTTCTTATTATAATTTATTATTTCGTTCGGTTATTTTTCAATTCATTTATGATCTCAAAATTTTGATATACAATGAAAACAAAATTATATATATATATATTAATATGATATAAAATTTTATTTTTATTTAAAATATGATAAGATATAAGATGAGATGGTAACATAAGTTATGCACATTTTAGAAAACAACAATAAAAAGATGATAAAAGTTATAGAAAAATATATGGTCCTATTAATATTATAAAATAATAATTAGTATATACTTTATTCATTTAGTAAATATTAGTTTGAAAATATTTTTTTTTTAAATTACGTTTTTTAAAAAAAAATCAATAAAAGTTATTTATTTTTATTAGTTTTAACATTTTATTCTTTAAATTATTTTTATCATGATTGTATTTTATTTAAAATTGTATTATTTAATAATTTGTTTATTTAAAACTTTTTTAGATTTAGTTAATAACTCTCCGAAATAAAAATATATCATACTTAAAGTATTATTAATAAATAGAATTTTAACTATTCTATTGAATAATTTAATATTATTTTTTTATTTTTATATGAAATTATAATATATATATATATATTGTTGAAAAAATTTCGTAATTATTTTTTATGAAATTATGAATATATGTAAAAAATTAAAATTATAATAGTTTTTATTTTCTGTTAATTTAAATTTGTTAATTTTAGTGTTATAAATATAATTTATTTTATTTATGTTTTAATTCCACAATTTTATAATTTCAATTCAACCACTCAAAACATTTCGTTTATTTTAAGAAGTTCGACATGTCACATTTACATGTCATCAATTAAAAGCACTAACTTTGATTGTAGTGTTGACAAATAAGCAATTTTCAATAATGTTACTTCTCAAATAATATGTAGTGGATTGTGAAATTGATGTTTTGCCATTTTGCAGCCTGAAATGGCGGCGGCGTCTTCACAAGCCGGGGACATCCGTCCTCTGGTTTTCATCAACTACCGGAAAATGAGTTGCGCCGGACCTTACGTCTCTTGCCTGCGTTAAGATGGGCTAGGATCAACTTCTTCATAGACGACAACTTGGAGAAAGGTAGAGCAATAGATGATCTCTTCACGATCATCGAGGAGTCGAAAATGGCGCTTGCCTTCTTCTCCAAACGGTACCCTGAATCTGAGTATTGCTTGGACGAGCTTCAGAGGATGAAGGAGCTTGTGGAGGAAGGCAGACTCAAGGTGATCCCTGTCTTTGTCAACGTGACAACGAGCGACGTGAAAAACTTCAACGGTGTGTTTGGCAGAAAATTCAATGAAATGAGAAAGAGATATGAGCAAGAACCGGAGAAGGTTCAGAAGTGGAAAAAAGCTGTGGAATACATTTCAGAAATAAGCGGTGTGGTCTGGAACGATGATAGGTAATGAGCCAGTTATGTGTTTGTATTCTTAATTATGAGCTTTGATTGATATGTGAGATGAATATTACAAAAAGTGAATAGTTATTAGGGGAAAAAACTGAACTATATATCAGTTTTTTTCGTAAAATTCATTATAAAACACTGAAAATCTAATTCAGTAGATTAAACATATTTTCCTGTGTGTGTTTTAGTTATATATATACAACGGAATCAGTTTTTACAAACATGAAATATAAAAATCTGATGAATACTATGAATAGTATACCATTTGACATATATATTCCTTTTTTTTTTTTTTATTGTAGGCCTTTCGGGGTTCCTCGTTATGCTCAGCCATGTACCAGCACAGACAGATATGTTGTGAGTGAGACGGTTAAGGCGGTTAAGAAACAGCTGTTCCTAATGTATGGGAGAGATCCCAATCCCATGAAAAGCACAGATCGAGTGTTTTCAAATTTACTAATGGCGTTCTTGATTGGAAGTTTCGGTGGCCTCATCGTACCTCGAATTTTTTTCAGTAATAGGGAACTTCTCAGAGTTGCGTTCTGGTTAGTAACTCTTCCTATTTCTTTTATGGTCTTTCTGAAATTTGAAGAAGGCGTGAAAACACCACCACCTGTGACCACACCACCACCATCTTAGGAGCTGGATTAAGAAAAAAAATGTGTAATATATTTAAACTCCCTAAAAAAAAAATTGCAGTGTGTGAAATTGTTTGCTTCTTAGTTGTGTGTTAAGTTATATAAAAAAAAAAAAAGAAGAAGAAAAAGATTGTGTGTTTTGTGTTTTTTTATTTATTTATTTTTTTTAATGTAATTGTGTGTATTTTCTCTAGTTATCCCACTTGTCCCCTATGTACAATTTGTTTGTTCTATTAGAATCTTTGCTTCTTCATTCGTAGACTTTTTTTATTCCATTTTAGTTTGTTGCATGATTCACTCTTTGCTATATACTGGTTATCACTCTAACTAATCCACTTATCCACAATGTGGCTCTTTTCCATCGTTGTTATTATTGTAGATGACATATATTGTGTCAAGTATCTATGACTATGAGATTACTCAATTATCTAAACTAAAACAAGAAAAACCCGAAAACCAACTTCTTCTTCAGTATGCTTGCATCTCACGCCAAAACCAACAAGTCCGAAAACAACCCGCCATGACGGAGCCAAAGCCAACCTCATGTGTTTATCAGTGTCAGTCGAGAGCTTAGCCCGAGAAGGGCGGCTTCTCAGCTTTATCCAAACACTAGAGACGGTCATCAATTGTGGAGAGTTCAAAGTCTTCATAGGCAACCAGTAACACATCTTTTGAAGGAGATAAAAGAATCAAAGGATTGCGATCCTTGTGGTGCATGCAGGAGCTTGTGGAAATGGAGAAGCTCCTGACTTAAGGCAGACTTATTGTGATGTAAAAGAACCTTGAAGGTGAGTTCGGTAACAATTTCATGAGAGAAAGAACAGATTTTTGCCGATGATCCCGAGAGGATCCAGAGATGGAACATTGCTTGAAGATCTACAAGTACTATATACTCTCATCTTTTGTTGCTCAGTCGCTTACAAGTGGTTCTCTCTTGCTAAGTTATTCTTTGCGGGTTCCAAGAGACCTGTACAAGTACTTATCGCATGACCTTCCGACTTGGTTCTTGATTCGTCATGGGTTAATGTGCACATTCAACTTTAACAAAAAGGCTTTAAGCAGCTACTAAACACCATGGATGATACCGGTTTGGTTTGAGCATAAACAAGAACACTGCCCTTCATTTGATTCTCTCTTGATCATTCGCTTTTCACGATTGATCATAAGTTTGATCAAGGGTACCTTCTGAGTAACTTGCCTCCAAATCTCATTCACAGTTCCATTTGGATGCGCATAATCGAAGTATCGTCTCACCTACACAAATCAAACTTTTATTTGGATTCACAAGTGCACAGTTTAAATAAAAGATAGAACAAGAAACTCTCTTATACCTCTTTCATAGCCTTTTGGTACTTTAAAATCTTCTCTTGCTTCACTTTTCTCAACCTCTTAACCAAAAACCCGGGCTTCAAAGCAGAATCACTCCTCAAGAACACAGAGAACTTTCTGTAATCTATAACATCTTCGAAAGGCAGCTCGATGCCATCGCTTACAATCACCGGGACACATAAACTCGCGATGGAATCAAACAATCTGCAAGCAGAAGGAGTATCACCAGGTGGATGTAGACAAAACTTAGATGTATGCCTCCCTTGTTTAGCCGCTCGCATATTCCCTCTTAACTGTGATTCATGTTTGATCACAACATCATCTTCCTTCTCAAGCAGCTTGAAAAGCAAATCTCTGACTTTGCTTCCCTGTTAAAAAACACACACATTCAGAGACATAGTAGTATTGTCAAAGTCAGTATCATTGTTCTTGCTCAAAGTTTACGCCTTCCATCTACTGTAATGGGCAAAATCCGGTTTTTTTTTGGAAATCTCTCACAAGCTAAGACAATTGAAATTCAATTCCAATCCATAAACAAGAACACTACCTAATAACTATGGCATGAATCTATGTACTGAACTCAAATTTAAACTCTTTATCCGACGAAATTCAAGATCAAGAACATAAGAGAGATTAAAATCTTACATCTTTGCGATAATGGTTTCCCATAAAGAACAAGAATGTGTTCCTCTTTTCTACACCAAGTTCGCCTTCATAAGCATCAATCCTATGAGAGTAAGGTATGATTACGTCCTTCACAAGCGACCCTTGGTCAGCTCTTAACCGGCCAAAATCCGCAACAAGCAAAACCGCATTCTTGACCCTATCCATGACCCGTTTCAGCGCATTCGGGTTACCGGCGACAATCACATGATCCCTCCCGTTGTTTCTCCTCCACCATTCTTGATTTTCCAACCAACTCACCAAGCTCTCCTGCATGTCCTCATCGCTGTAACCCGACCCGGATCTGGGTCGACCCGAGTTCACTATCAAGCTTAGAGAAGAGAAAGCCGAGACGTAGAAAACATCCGCTTCCACCGGGTCAAAAACCCTGACGATTGGTGAACCGACCCGTTCGATTTCGGGTCGGGTAAGATCCGAGAAGAGATACCACTCGTGCATATGCTGATGACCCGGATAATTCAACCCGGTGACGTTATCGGATTTCTCCCCGCCGCGAGCTATGCGGTGCTGCTCGATAACTCCGTAAGTGAAATTCGTTGGCAAGTCGTACATGTAAACCCTCGTTTTATGCGATTTCCTCGGAAAGTCTAATTTTTCTCGGGAATCGACGAGATTGCGCTGAACAGAACCCGAATCAGAGTAAAAACTTGGGTAGAAGAGGGTATTGACAAAGGCGAAGATTAACAAAACAGAGAGAATTGAAACCGCGACCTTCTTCGACTCGGAGAACAAATTACTGTGTTTTCTGATTTTGGGCTTTAATCTCTCATTCATCTCGTAAAAAGAAATCCAGCAAAGGTATCTTCTTTGTTTTATTCTTCTCCTTCTTCAGTTGAAGAATGAGCTTAGAGGAATAAAAGAAGAAGAAGAAAATGATTTCGTGAGGATTCTAGCCTGAGTCAAGCTTCTTCGACGAGGCAAAAGATTTCGTTTTCGGAGAAAAAATATAAAAAGAGGTTTTTTTATTGGGAAAAATAGACAAGTTCACATCTTCACGAGACATTTATTGATTTTGGTAGTAGAACTATGCGTATTTGAGAAATCGACGTTTGAATTTTAAATTATTTTTTAATATGTCGGTCGGTTCAGCCGTTAGGATTTTAGTCAATAGTTTTTTAGGCAAAAGATCTCTCTTAAATCAGTTGTTTTATGCAATGAATATACAAGGTTGAAGAATGAAGAGTTCAAACTAGATTTTTGAGAGAGAGAGGCTCTCTTTTTTTTTTTTACTTTCGTTAATCGGATAATAAAATCCGGTTCTTTATAATTTTCTCTTCCGTTTATCGGATTTTACTTTTGTTTTCCTTCTTTGCATATTTTATTTTAGATCGATTTTGATGAAATTCTTTTTTCTGTTAGTTGTTTGGTTCTTCTTTGAGACGTAATACCTGGCTTTTAATCTCAGATTCTTTTGGAGATATAAAATCGAGTTATTGGAAAGTCAGTCGGATCGTTATGATGCATAATCACTAGATCTGGTGTTTTTCTATAAACGGTCAAGTGAATTTTATGTTTCTAATTTTCCGGCGACTTCCGGCGAGCTATACTAATGGCATAAGGAAACATCATCATCTTCTAATAGTTTACACATGTGAAAGGAAGGAGCAGAATTAGATCGAAGCAGCATCGTGCTAATTGAAACTCTCAATTTCGGCGACAACGAAGTTTCCGATGATGAAGCAGCACTACAAATCAACATCTGGATCAAAATCTCGGAAGATTTTCCGTACAAGGTTAAACTGTTCAAATGATCTCTGTATATTATAATTTCATTTAATTTTTTGAATAGGTTAAAATAAAATTACTATATTGTCCATCTCCAAATCTTCTAAATCGATAACATTTTCCTCTTCCCCCTTTCCCTTTCGATTTAAACATCCTTCAAACCATAATTCAATCTTCCCTATCGACGATCCCATCGAAACCGAAATCCACCAGTTTATCATTTCGAATTTCTGACCAGTTCTGCCAACTTTGATTTTTCGATCTCATGGTGCCTTGTACGAGAGGAGGAAGGGAAGTTCGGTTGAGAACACCCACGCCCTCGCTAGATCCTCCACCGCCGCCGCCGCTATTGAGTTCAAAATCACCGGCAAAGAGGAAGCGTCCTGCGGGAAGGGGGGAAAAGAGCAGAGATCACGGAAGAAATTGAAGCCTGGAACTTCCAGTCTTTCGTCTCCGCCTCTGCCTCTATCTCCGACTTCGGCAGCTCGGATGGATGTCCGATAAGAAGAAAGCATTGGCGAGAGCCCTCCCCTTGCCGTATGGCTCTGGCGGTGCAATCGGCAACCAGTCCGCCTCTAATTTCAGAACCGATAACCGGTCTTTCCCCATCTCAACCGGCTTCACCATCGCAACCAGCTTCACCGTCGCAACTGGCTTCACCGTCGCAACTGGCTTCACCGTCGCAACCTTCACTATCGCAACCAGCACAGGTGAACCCTAAATTTTGTGGAACCATGGCTAGTATAACTAGGTCCAACTAGTCTGACTAGTATGAGTAGTTCAACTAGTTCAAGTAGTCCGACAAGTATGCGTAGTTCAACTAGAACGGTTAGTATAACTAGTATAATTAGTTCAACTAGTCTAAGTAAAATGTTAATATAACTAGTGTAATTAGTTCAACTATTCTAAGTTGTTCTAATTAGTTGAACTAGTCTAAGTAATTCAAGTAGTCTAATTAGTTCAAACTTTTTTTTTCAGGATTATGAGGAACCTATGCGACCACTCGGTTATTTTTTTAAAACGTTGGAGTATAGAAAGGGATGCAAGATGGCATCAAGGTGCCTTCAATATAAATTTATGGAAATCGTAAAAGGTTTTAAAGACAGTGAGAAGGACTGGTTTGTCAATCACCCTCAGTTCAGGCACATCTTCCATATGGTTAGCCACAAGACGAGGAAGGTTATAGGATTGTGGATGCTGCTTCTCCGCACTGCCAAAACGGAGAAACAGAAACAAACATGGTTCATGGTGAATGGTGTGTCCATTAGGTACTCCATCCAGGAACATGCCCTCCTCTCGGGGTTAGACTGCCACCTCTACCCAGATGGTCATGAGAAGTTGGGGAGCATGAACTTTGTGGCCGAATACTTTGGGGAAGGGAAGGAAAAAATATCTGCTGAAGAAGTGTTGGATAAGCTGACTGAAATGGAGTATGATGGCAGTGATGATCGCTTGAAGATGGCGTTGTTGTACTTCCTAGCCGCTGTGCTAAAAGGAAGATCAAAGGTTGGATCCCCAATAGAGCCATTCTTCCTGATAGTTGTCGATGACATGCATGTGTGTGAAACATTCCCGTGAGGTCGTTTAACATTTGAGGACAACATGAAGGAGATATTCCATGTGGATAACCATTTCAGAGGGAAGCTTTCAGAGAAACCAAGTTGGACATTTCCAGGATTCATCAATCCTTTGGAGGTAATTGTTATTTAATTTTTCAAATTAAGATAAGTTGTCTGATAGTAAAACTGGTATAACTGATAAATTAATATATGCAGATTTTGGCATTTGAATCCATTTCAGCTCTGAAGACCGAGTTTCGAGCAAAAGTAGAAGGTGCTGATGCTGGATGTCCGAGAATGTGCAGATGGAAGTTTAGGGAGACTGGTGCAAGTGGGTTTGGCTTAGATGAAATATATGCCACTCTTGGAGATACAAATGTTAAATTCGCTTTCATAAGTTTCATAAATGTCATTTTCGTAGTGTTTTGGTGTAATGATTTATTTTTTGTATGCTTCAGGATATTTCTAGTGTTTTGGAACGTGAGGATGATGAAATGGTTCTCATGGAGGAGCTCATGGAATAAGATCTATGGTGCGACTATGAACTACTTGATGATGATGATGCGATCGACCCTATTGTTGACGGTTGGAACAGGTTTTTAATCCGCGGACATGGGAAGATCTGCTGGAAAGATATCAGGGAGAAAGATATTCAATCTCGAGAAGGAGTTGAATCAGTTGAAACAGTTGAACCGGTTGAACCGGTTGTACATGCGCAAATAGCTGAGGCACCACGATCTCAAGATCTCGAGGATGTAAAGGAAGCTATGCAGAGGATGGTGAACATAATGGAAGAAGGGTTTGAGGAGATTAAAGAGGTGATATGGCGTATGGAGATAAGAGTGGAATCTTTGGAAATTTTCAGAAGGGATTTTCAGTGGATAGGGGAAAGCTACCAGACGAGTGGTTTCCAAAAATCCCCAAATACACAAGGTAAATTTCTTGACTTTTTTGTTGCAGTTATGTTGAAGGTGTTGCATTGAATTTTTGTTGCACTTTTCCTATGTTACAGGGCCTAAGGAGAAAGCGGCCGAGGCTGATGCATTGGAGAATGCTACAGAGAAACCTAGAAAGAAATCGGCTGAGGAGTGTGTTGATGGTATGTTGAGTTGATAAATTTGTTGGATAACTAGTATAATTAGTATAACTAAGAAGATTAGTAAAACTAGTGTAACTAGGATGACTAGTATAACTATAATTTTTTTTATGTTGCAGAGCCTGGAGAGAAATCGGTTGTGGATGAAGTAATAAAGGTCATGCAGAGCAACAACCTATAATTGAGGAGCCTGGACATAAAGCGGTTGGGGAAAGTGATGATAGTATGTTAACTAAGCCTGTGGAGAAAGCGCCTGAAGATGCTGGTATGTTGACTGTATGTTGAGTACAACTAGTAAACTAGTATTACTAGGATTATTAGTATAACTAGGAGGATTGGTTTAACTAGTTTAAGTTTTTCTATGTTGTAGAGAAGGCAATTGCAGATGTTATTTTTGGTAAGAAATGGTTCGATTTATATATCAGTACTTCATAAAATATAGCTGTTTTTATGATGATATAATATGATAATACAGGTGCGGAGACTCAAGTTGCAGAGACTCAAGAGGATAGTGTTGTAGGTTCTGGCGCTAAGACTCAAGAGGACAATGTTGTCGCAGCCAAGCCTGCTTTTGGTGAGAAATGGTTCGTTTTTTACACCCTTTTTACTCTTTTAATTATCTCACTAAGAATTTAATTATAGTTATTAGTTTTATTTTTCATTAATTTTTTTCTGCAGAGAGAAAAGTCTACAAGTCTAGTGTGAAAGTCCTTACAGCTAAGATGTTGATCAAAATGTGTATGAAGTCAAGATCTCCGAGAACTCCAAAAACTCCAAGGCCTACGAGAAATCTAAGACCTTCACATCTGTTGCAGCCTCCTTATGTTCTAAAATGATAACTTATTTTCTTGGTTTTATGTATTTTTATACTTATTAAGTATTTAGACTTATTATGAATTTAAGTATTTAGACTTATTATGAATTTAAGTATTTAGACTTATATATACTTAATATCGCAAGTACAACTAGTATTACTACGTCCAACTACCATGTAAAATACTTAAAATCATTGCAAGCAAATTTAAATAAAAAACATACACTGACATCGTATAAAACATTAAAAACGTGCTTAAAAAAATCAAATCTTTAACACTGAGTTGTACCAAGGAACCAGTTGTACTTTAATTGTAAAGAGTTGTAAAGAGCTATACTTTGGTCCTAAAAACTTGTATTTTGTGGTACCATTCTCTAAATAAAATTTCTTTAATTGTACTTACGAAATTAAGTATATAAACTACATTCTACATATTCCAATATAATTAAATGTGTACATATACTTTGCTAGTTTGTTTTCCATGTTAGTGTGGTTCAGATTGTGAAAGTAACCTTATAAGTGTAAGGTAGATTATGGAAAGATAACATCTTCATCAAATCAAATTATGAAATTTGTATTTAGCTCACTAATGTAGTTGTGGAAATATATTTGCAATGTTTTGATGGCCTATTTAACATGAGAATATATATATAAAAACATTTTCATAAATATAATTAAAAGTTACACTAGTTGTACCAGTTGAACTAAAATGTAATTGTACTATTATAACAGTGCAACTACAATGTAGTTGTACAAATTGTACTCAGGTAGAGTTGTACTAGTCGTACCAGTTGTACCAGACATATTTGACGCGGAATATATGGTTGTGCTAGTTGTACATAGTCATACCTGA